GAGTACAGAAACCATTAACCAACCACCATTCTTCAGAGGAGGTAAACAGAAAAATCCATTTTTCGTCGTCTTCCAAGCGCACTGGTAAATATGTTTGTCTGATGTTATTATATATAGAGTATATGCTGACCACGTCTGTCTTGTCATAGTTGATCATCGATTCATTCAAGACTGCATTTTTCTTGATTACATTGTAAATACCGCTCACTTTTTCTTGGTTTCAAGAAATTATGCATCTTCATCCATTTAATTTGTAACAATTTGATCTTATCTACATTTCTGTAATAAAAGCATTTTTTTTTCTTCCAGCTTTTTGAATCTGGTGTTCTTTTTGTCCCACGGAAAAAAATGAAGATTCACGTGTTAATGTTTTGTTTTTATGAATATGAACCAGATTCGTAGCGCCAGTTAACAAGCCAGGACAAAACCCAAACAATCTAATCCAATTTACATGATGTACACATTGTGATTTGATCAGGGAAGAGAAGCCTGATGATGGCCGCTACCGCAGTTATTGGACTCAGCACTGGTAAAAGACTTCTCAGTTCTAACTTCTACTGTTCTGATTTTGTCGAAAAGGTTGCCTGCACGGCTGCACCGGTGATCAGCATGAGTTTGTTCCTTCAACAAAGAATTTGATCACTGCTAAGAAGTCATCAAATTATGGCCCAACTTTTCTTTCGAGTCAGCATCCACAATTCTTAGGGCTGTTAAAGAGCATGTAGACACTGCCTCCAGTCCTTGTACTGTGGAGGAGCCATGGCCACAGGGAGAGGAAACCTCTGAACCTGATTACTTGGTGAATGCTCTCGTTTTACTGCAGAAGTCTATGCTCGAAAAGCAATGGAATCTTTCGCCTGATACGGCTGTAATAACTGATTTGCCGAGAGAGAAAGGCCAGAAGAAAGTGCAGTTAACTGGTTCTGGGACATCTGCTCCAAGGAGGAGAACTGATTCTCGAAGAGAACTGATTCTCGAAGAGAGTTTGAACACTGCACAAATTGGTAAAGCAAGGAGTTGAGGTTGGTTATCAGTCCAGAGCTGCATCAGAATCGTTTGAAAGGCTACGTAAAGGGTGTTGTACCTTTCAAATAAAAAAAACAAATAAAACCTTTCAAAAAAGTAAAGGGTGTTGTAAGTGAAGAATTACTCACCCATCAGGAAGTAGTTCAACTATCAAAAAAAATTAAAGCTGGTCTTTAGTTGGAAGAGCACAAGTCAAGGTAATTGAATAATTCCTTTTAAATAGTACTTGAATGTTGAATTAGTTCCTCAGGAAGAGGAATACCCTCATCTAAAATGTTAGTTTTCCATTTAATGCCCGAACCAACTAGTTTCCGGTTGCACTTAATAGTTGAGTTTCTTATTATCTCTATTTACCACTAATCTGTTTCACTTGGTTTCTGCTGATACTGAAATTGCAGACTGAAAGAGAGATTGGGACGTGATCCCTCAGATGAGCAACTTGCAACTTCCCTGAGGATTAGTCGGGCTGAATTAGAGTCAAAATTCATCGAGTGCTAGTTGGCAAGAGAGAAGCTGACAATGAGAAACATTCGTCTCTTCACGTATATTGCTCAAAGATATGATAACATGGGTGCTGAAATGGCAGACCTTATTCAGGTGAACTCATCTTCTCTGCCGTTTTCTTACCAATAAAAGTCTCGTGCATTTGCTTCTGTAAGCAGCAATATGCGTGATTTCTTATTTTCTTGCAGGGTGGTTTGATTGGATTACTCCGAGGAATTCAGAAATTTGATTCTTCCTAGGGATATAAGATGTCAACTTAATGTTTATTGGTGGATTCGACAGGTAAAGGCCATGAACAAGTATGCTGCAATGTTCGTCTTAGTTCTTTTCATTTTGCATAAATTATATCTTGAGGGAAGAGTTACTTTACAACTCTTCTTTTCATCAATGAATGTAGAAAAACTAGACAGATGGGGTTCTGACTAACAAAAGAATCAAATCCTACAAGCTTGCTAAAAATAACGGAGATTAATGTATTCTGTAATTAGGAAGTGTTTACTAGTTTCTTGCAAAAACAACTAGTTAATCTTTATTTCAAATATACTACACGAAAACCATTCTTCGCCACTCCATATGATTTACAAGTACTAATGTCTAAAGAAATCTAATCTTTTGCAACCACGCCAGACCTTTTTAATTTGGTTCTCTCCCTCGTCTATCATATTTACTAGGATAGCATCACCTTCGTGAAGAGAAATTTTTGACATTTACGCATGATATAAATATTAGTTTTTCAATGGTGTGTAAATATTCAGCTTCTTTGGCCTCTCACATGGAGGAAGACTTGAGCCTGACAGTAACATTTCCATCACTCATTCCCCGGGTGTTTCAAGGGCTTTAATGAGGAACTCAAGATTGCCTACCCATGTACACGAAAGACTGAGTTTGATTCGAAATGTTAAAGCCAAACTAGAAGAAAAAGGAAAAACTCCATCAATTGATGTAAGTCTATTTAATCTCTTATATATAAGATTGATTCGTTCGTAATCAGACCTGTATTGACTATGAATGACTTGTTTTGACGCTCCAGAAAATTGCATAATGTCTAAACATGTCCCAGAAAAAAGTCAGGAATGCCAATGGTACCTATCTTTTGATTACGTTTTAAAAGTAAATCACCTGGATTATACTTGCAATCGTTTTGTAGGGTGGAGTAGATAAACGCCTTACTTCAACAATAAGGGAGCGGGAGCAAGAGATTATTCGTCTTTACTATGGTCTAGACAATGAATGTCTCACATGGGAGGATATTAGCAGACGGAAAGCTACAGCTTCAGACAACAATACTCGATTATGAAGTTTATACTATACTTCTGAAGTTGATTATTTTTTTTGGCATCATTCGTGAAATTTCAGGATAGGTTTGTCGAGGGAGAGAGTTCGGTAAGCGGGATTGGTTGCTCTTGAGAAATTAAAACATGCTGCAAGGAAGAGAAGAATAGATGCAACGCTGCTAAAATTTGATTCCTCTCAGTTCACGTTTTAAACAGTACACCAATTTCATCATGTATATAATACTTTTAAATTTAAAGAAAGCGAAGTAGCAACCTCGTATGCATTTTTTTAGTGAGTTACAAAATAGTAACTTATTAAAGATCCCATAAATTTATCATTTATGTTCGAAAAATATATTTAGTACTTGAGAAATTGGAACGCGTAGCCCATAAATTTATCGTTTAATTTTAATAACACATTTTGTAGGACCCACAGTAGAGAAATCCCACCCAAGTGAGTCCCTTTTTTTGAGCATTATTAGAAAGTTCCATACTTTTTGTTGTTTCGAGTGTAAACTTGAGAACCTAAACCATCTTTCCCTTCTCTGTTGACCTTCAGAAGCATAATAACCTATTAAAGCACATGAACAACACGTCAGCTGGAATTAACTGATCTAAGTTTTGTGTCGACACGACTAAAAGTTGAGAACTATGAGACTCTCCAGGATTTAGAAATGGAACATGTGCAAATTAAGCAAGAACAAAAATTGAATCTAGCGTCATGGACATCAGCCGACAAAATGAACTGAACAAACTTCAAGAATAGGTATCGATCCTTGCATGGAAAATATAATATGATCTAAACATCAGGAAACATTCATAGAAAAAGAACTGTGATAATTCGTCAGGATAGTTTTTGTCCTTGCAATTGACACAGGCTCTAGATGGAAACATTATCCCATAAATGGAAAAATGCCAGTTAGGAAGATAAAATACACCACCATGAAGCTGAAGAGGAGCTCAAATCTCTAACACCATTTGATGACCATCCATAGTTAACCAATCATCTCTCTCTACAATAACCCTACCATCCGGAAGCCAGGTACCCTCTGTTTCTTAGATTCATTGTACCATCTGATAAGAACTACAATTGGGGAATAAAACACCATTACTAAGAAACCCATAAATATCTCTCTTTTTTTTTTTTGGTAACAACTGTTAATTCAAGTAAGGAATAGGCTTTTACAAGAACTATATCTAATTTAATAAAACACTTGGATAATCCTTCCCTATAACACGCTATTCACACCAGTAATTTGTCAAGTTGAGAGGTTTTAAGTGTCGAAACCACACGATGACAAGTAAACCATTTTACCTACCACACCCACACTTCTAATTACAAGTATTGTTCTACAAAGTTTACCATCAACCATGAGTCTAATCACAACCCCGTCTCAGTGTAAACATTACCCATTATCAATATAACTTGCCACAGCGCATCGTTATGGGATGCACACACACAGTTGTACGACATGAAAAGCTATATCATTTCAACATATGGCCATTTACTGACATCATTATCCCAAGAATTATAATTTGAGGCGGGGATAGATTGTATTGAGATAAAGTCAAAGACAACAAACAGTTGGCTGAATACCCTTTTAGAACCCCAGGTTTGAGGAAGTAAAGGAAGCAATATTTCTTGCATGCTTGAATTCCTGTAGTTCCTTAAAGTTCATCCATGGCTTTACCCAAACCTTCACTTCATAAGATTACTTCAATCAGGAATCGATAAACTCAAGAGTAAGATGGTGCATTGTATGTGCAACCACTTGTTCTTGCGCTTTTACAACCTTCGCTAACTCAAGCAATGCATTCTGAAAGGACACAGGCATTCAAAACTACGAAAGAAGACTTGGAAAAGAAAATTAATCTTGAGTAAGAGCATGTTGGCAAATACCAAGTTGCTCATAATAGCATGTTCGCTGACAGCAATAGTTTTGCCCTGTACAATACCAATCCGTACACAATAATACCCAGGTTAATTGTTTTCTATGAAAAGATATAAGATTTCCCAGAGATTGAAGTTATTTCTTCATTTCGTTATATTCTACTAATCCGACTTCTCAACGTGAGATGAGAATGGATACACATTAGTTGACAGAGAATATATCGTATATTTATCAACAGGAAAATTGAAAGCAACGAAAGGAAAAAGGGATGAAAGTACTCTTTCTTGTTGTGCTTACAGTAAGTCGGGCAAGGGTATCCATCTTACGCTGTTCCGGGATGAGTAGTGGAATAGTGATGGCCTCTGAGAGTTGCCATTTGGATGACCAGAATATCCTTGTCTTGTAAAACCCTAACTTTTGGTGCCAAAGACGAATCTAACTGCAGAACAACGAAAAGGAAGACAAAGATTGTCTTTATAATGTTCAACATCTACTGCTGCTTTCATTCGCCAGATGAGATGCTTTTGGTGTCTTCTCTAGTCCATTTTGCTTAATCTATAGGTGTTTCAAAATTAATAACAAACTGAATAAAATCTACTCCTGGACTATCTAGTCAACAAAAGCAAACGGGTGATAGGAACACAAGATGCCAAATTCATATAGCATCTCCACGTGTTTTAGTTTGATTATCAGACATAGTCTTTGCAGGGATAAACTCTTCTTCCACAGCTCCTCAGAATTTCAAAGTACAACCAAGAATATTATGTGGGAAACCAAAATTAGTATTTCATGAATTTTTGTACAATATTTGTTTCTGAGCATCTTGCTTACGAAGCTGGCAACAAAACTTGAAACATAATAAATTACTCTGACACCATACAACCTTGAAAGATTTTAGCAAATTCAACAATCCATAGAAGCAAAAACATGACAACTGTTATCTTTCAAATGGACAGAATGAAGTTATTTGTAGAAACTAGTGTACGGGATAAATAATGAAGATAGAAACTGGGAAAATTAGATCTTTGACAGTCGCAACCGGCTCGTTACTAGTCGTGGTGCTCTGACATCAAGCCTCATTAGTAGTAGATTGGTTAGGCAATGGAACTCAAAAGTATCAAACATATAGTTGACTTTCTCTACACTTTGCTATACTGCAAGCAAACCTCAATCATCAATACCACCACACCACACTAGTAAGTAGTAACCCTCATAATATCAGAAAAAGATTCTCAAATTACACATTGCAGTATTAACCAGTGTCACAGTAAATGTGAAGCATTAGTAGCAGTACTAAAGAGAATACCTCAAGTTGCCCATTACTAGAGCTAAAAGTAAATGAACGTCACTGATGACCCAATCCCTTTATATTTATAAATCTAGAAAAAAACAAATGCTTAGGTCGAATTCGATTTTTCAATTTCAGAATTACAATTTCATCCTCAAGAATTCAAACACAAGAAATCTGTAACAACCAACGTAGCAGCTAAATGGCAAAATAGAATCCTATTACAGATGTCTTGCATTGGTGCAAAGATCTACATAATCAAGAACCCTGCCTACCAGACTTATGTTAGCTCCCACTTCCTTTCATTGCAAAAATTACTCCCAATAACTTGGAGGCTCAGCGTCGCTTTGAACTAGATCGATTGTGCAACTCCAACAGTTGCTCAAGGGATACGAGAGACCATTTGTCCTCAGTTTGTGCAAAGACCTTCTGATTGATGGAGTCGACTATTATGCTTATGTCACCAAATCCATAAATTTGATGCCCATCTTGTGTTCTGCCAGGTTTAGGCTTGAACAGTAAACCATTTTGCTGAGCATGAATTTCAATAACTTCTTTCAAGCTCATTTCAAGTCCAGCACTCATACCCTCTGTTTGAATTCCACTACCTAAGTTTGTATAGGCTCGTTGTTGAGCTTGAGCAGCTGCTTTCTTCTGAGTCTCAAACTGCCTCTGTTCACGCACCCTGAGATAACTCATGTTCTCTTTTAAACCAGGTTGCGATACCTCCATGCCTTCAACAGCCTGGTTCATCATGTCCAGACCAAGATTAAGTCTATATCGAACATGCTCACTCGCCTGAAGTTCAGGTGGAAGAAGTTCCTTCCAACCTAAATACCATTTGGTAACCTCTTCGAAGTTCGGGTTTGAACGTAGCCAATGGTACAAGACTTCTTGCCATTTGTTGAAGAAAATATCCATTAATTGCAGCATGTGATGAGTAGGAATGGCAGTTGCCCAGTTCAGGACCCAATAGAACTGATCGAGGTTCTGATTCGCAGGATTTATTTGAAACTCATGCATGACAGCCAATAACTTGGGAATTATGTATCGAACCATCAGTTGCTCCCAGCTGGTTGGATCGAACACGGACTTCCAAGGTGACAATATATAATATGCTGACATATCACTTGGGTGCCAAGCATGAAGAACACTAGCCAACCTGCTTCGTATGGTGTGATAACAATTCTCCAGTTTCTGCCCCAACAAAGGTAACCACGGATGGATCCAAGAATGGATTGGGATGGTTTCTCTGCGTGGATCCCATGAGTCTACAGCAGCTGACAACTTTGGCATGACAATGTTATCCAATATTGTCTGCAGGAGGGGAGGAGGCAGTAGTTCTTCCCAAGACTCCAAAAACCTAAGCATGGGCTCCGGGTCCCTTGCTTGCCAAGTGTTGGTGCCAGATATCCTCACAGCAGGGAATACAACTTCCATGAGAAGCTGAGCATAAGGTGATGCTATATCAGAGAAACTGTTAGAATCTTTTCCTTGCAACAAGTTCTTCCACAGGGATACCACCTCGACTCCATGTGTTGGATTCTGAAGGGGGTCCCATCCCTGAAATATTCTAATAAACAACGGCAGCGCATAAGAGCATGCAATGCAAGATAAGTTGCATAATGTATAATCGGCAGTAAATCTTCGCTGCAAGTCCGCAAATGATCCAGCAAGGGAGTCTAATGTTAGAGTTCCAGATGAGCTCTCCTCACCTATTTGGTCCAATACACGCACTACCTCTTCCATGCTATCAAGTTGTTTCTTTTGGTGATGTGCCTCAGTTTGCAGTTTCTCTTTTTCCTTCTGCAAAGCAACAACAGTCTCCCTCTCATTCCTCAGATCTCTATCTAACTTCTGTATGTCAAGCTCCGCTAAATCAACGATCAATCTAACATTATGTTGGAGTTCAGGCATGGGAACATCATTTTCCCGGGCTTTTTCTTCAACATTTAAGTGCTCCAAATTTGTCACTATCCGAACCTGTGGTCCTCTCATGTCAAAAACCTTTTGAACAACTTCAAGACCCTGCTCTTGCTTCTTGGCCAGTAATTCTTCAGCTGTTACATAAACCTTCTTCTTCAACTGAGCTTGCTTTGACCAAAGCTTCCCTTTTGCAGCACCCTCTGTAGGTTGAGTGGAATGAGGCAAGGACTTTTGCTCTGGTTCCTGCAATGCTGGCAGACTAGCCTCTTTATAGTCATTGAAACCCATCCCCATATTCTTGGGGCGCAACTTCGCCTCAATGGGAGCTACAATGCCCTGCTCATTTTTACCAAGGCCACCTCCTTTGTAGCCCATCTTTTCAAGCAATCTCATCCCAATTCCCTTGGTATGCTTTTCAAATGAACCTACACCCCCAGGTTCCAATTCTTTACTTCCTGCTAGAGAAGACTTCTTCGCTAGCCTTGACTTCTCTCTTTCTTTTTCTCTTCGCAGCTGGGCACCCTCCATGATCTTCTTTCCAAAAGCAGTGGGAAGGAAACCATCATCTTCATCCCTGTCTGCCTGAGTATATCCCCCATCATCCATGGCATTCTTTGAAGAGGCAGAATCAAATCCCAGGCCAGCAGAAGATCCAAGACCCAAACCTGCAGGTCTCACAACATCTTCCTCAACCTCTTTATTCTCCTCCAAGGAATTGTGATCAATCTCCTGATTGGGCAAGACGGTGCCAGTGGAAATGAAATTGACTGGCTTGGTGAAGTTGGGCTTCTTTGATAGATCTTTCCTGCGCTTCTTTGAGCCCGACCCTTCATAGGAGTCAGAGTCGCTGTCGCCAGAGGCAAATACACCATAGAGGATGTCGTCTTTGGTCTGAGCAGCCTTCTGTTTGCGCTTTCCATAAAATTCACCTCCAATCCACTGACCATCATCATAATCGTTTTCCATACCAAATCTCTCCATTTCCTGATAGTCGTCCATTTTTCAAACTTGTAATACTACCTGCATAACAGAGCAACGATAAGGTTAAAATTAACAACGACATGCAGAATAAACCAAATCAATTGAGATAGTCCTTTGTGGAAACCAGTTAAGGATATATGAACTAGTGCAATACTGACTTTACATATAAATTGACTAGATAGATTATTTGAACCTATAAAATTGGAACTAATAAAGGGAATACGTTTCAAGATAATTATAGCCGGATTACTTAATAAATCTACATCAACATGACTTATAAGCGTACAATGCTGCACAAAATTTCAAATTTAGCCATGAACCAACATTAATTTTCGATATTAACCTCGTTTCTTACAAACAATAAGTTAATCAAAAAATTCCAGCAAAAGAAAAGAAAAATCGTTAACGGAAATCTTCAAAATCAGATAATAGGTAATCCAACATATTAAACACTAATATAAACGACTATATAGAGGGCTTGACCGAGCTATTTCGATGATAGAACAAAAAAAACGTGCTTACTAATCAAAAAAGCACAAACAACTTACCTGAGTAGATTTGCTCGGAGGTAGGATGAAACAACTAGCCAGATACAATTGCGAGTTTTCCACGACAAAGTGAAGCTGAAGGAATCAAATCATCATTCAGACGAAGAACGTCAGAAAATGAAGGTACTGTTTGGTTCTAGGTTTATGTTTCGGGTTGAAAATTGGACTGTAATAAACCCTGAATTTTGCGTAATGTTGGAGGTTGAAATGTTGAGTTGACTCAGTGGGCTTTCATCTGGACCATTTAAAATTACGGGCTTCATTCTAAATTGTTGGTCCAACTCAAGTAGGCCCCTTTTTGGGCACTCAACTTATGGGTCTGCCAGTTTTTGACAGATTTAGCGCTTGACTTATAAATTTTGTGAACTGTAAACGATGAACAAATTGTGACTTTTAAATTTTTAAGTTGTGAACGATAAATAAATTGTGACATATGAAAATTTTGAATTGAAACCTAAAAAAAAAATCTGTGACCAACTAATTTGGAATCGGTGACTGCGTGACCTATAAATTTTGATCTGTGACCAACTAATTTTGAAATTTGTGACCAACGAATTAATTATGACCTACAAAAATTTTGAGCTGTGATCAGAAGTTGTAAATCTGTGACCAGAGTAGTCGCCGAATCAGTGCAGTCGTCGAAACGATCGCCGAAAAAGAGTGGTAGACGGAATGGTCGTCGGAATAGTTCCCGAAGTGGTATGGGTGGGGTATGTGGGGTGGATTAATTATATTATATTATATTATATTATNGTGGGATGTGTTAATTATATTATATTAGAATTAAATATTTAATAATAAATTGATTTAATAATTTATTATTTCATAAATACAAAATAAAAAAAATCTGATTTTTGAATTTTCAAACTATAAACCTGATTTTTGAATTGGTATAAAGTAAATACCTTATTTATGAATTTTTCCCTTTATTTATTCATCATTAGGCTGGGCAAAACTTCCAAATCGAAGGAATCAAACTGAATTGAATTGAGCGGTTCTTCTTAAATTAAATACTTGAACGAGTATCTGAATCGAGAACCGAGTGATTCTATACCAAGAACTGAAAAATTAAATAAAAACTGAATCGCTCTAATTTTTTTTATTTTAAATAAGCCAAATTATTATATTTTTTCTAAATAAATTTCCTAACTAATTAATTTAACACAAACCCAAAATATTATTTTCCTATATATAATTTAAAGCCCAAGCCCAAGCCTAACTTAATCAAATTTACATAAGTTTTA